ATATATATATGCGCCAGAGGTGAGCTTGTTTTCGCACACACGTTCTGTTGCGGGTACATACGCACAAGTACTTATTAGTTTCCTGATTACATGGAACACGGGATCATGCGCATCTGCAGAAGCAGCCATCGTCTTACATTGCCCCCGTTACAAGGCAGCCTCCGGATGCCCATTTGGATGACTCTGAATGAATTTCCGAATTAGTTTGGGGACATTATTATTATTTGTATTATACAGGATTTATATAGCGCCAACAGTTTGCGCAGCGCTTTACAATATAAGGAAGACATTACAATCACAATACAATTCAAGACAAGATGGTAAGGAGGGCCCTGCCCGTGAGGGCTTACAATCTAAAAGGGAGGGGGAAGTGGTACATGAGGAGGTAGCTGTGTGGGGATGAATTGTTTGAGAACGTGATGGTTGAGTGGTTAGGTTGAGGTGGGATAGGCTTCCCTGAAGAGATGAGTCTTTAGGGAACGCCTAAAGGCAGTCAAGGTGGGAGACAGACGGACAGGTTGGGGTAAAGAGTTCTAGAGGATGGGAGAGACTACAGAAGTCCTGGAGGCGAGCATTGGAGGAGTTGACAAGGGAGCTGGAAAGCAGGAGGTCTTAGGATGAGCAGAGCGGACGGTTAGAGTAACACTTTGAGACAAGGTTTGAGATATAGCCGGGGGCAGAGTTTGGATTGCTTTGTAAGTGATTGTTAATATTTTGAATTTTATGCTTTGGGCGAGTGGAAGCCAGTGGAGGGATTGACAGAGGTGGGTTGCAGACACTGAACGGTTGGTTAGGTGAATGAGTCTAGCAGCTGCATTCATGATAGACTGAAGGGGGGATAGCCTGTGTAGTGGAAGGCCAATGAGGAGGGAGTTACAATGGTCAAGACGAGATATAACAAGTGAGTGGATGAGTAATTTTGCAGTTTCATTGGTGAGGAAGGGGGGTATTTTGGAGAGGTTACGAAGGTGAAGGCGGCAGGATTTGGATAGCGATTGGATGTGGGGAAGAAAGCTGAGGTCCGAGTCAAGGATGACACCTAGGACCTTGGCATGGGAGAAGGGTTGGATAGTTGTGTTAACAATCTCAAGAGAAAAGTTGGGGGAAGGTGCACGGGCGGGAGGAAATATCCAGAGTTCAGTTTTGA